TTGTGCAAGTGAATTGGTTTAAGGGTGTGGGGTGAACAAGTGCATGCAGCAGAGGTCTTCAGTTGCTTCTTGAAAGTTGCAACTGTCTCTTTAGATCAGGTGGAGTTTGTCAGCTTATTCCACACCAGATAGGAACAGAGAGGGTGAAGGCTTTGGAAAGTGACTTTCCTGTGTTCTGCCAGACTTAAGCAGTGACTTGCATTCCAATTATGTCTGTAATATTTTTAATATTTATGTATGTAATAATTTTCTTCTCTGAAATTACAATATCACAATAAAAAAGAATAAAATAAGCTGGCATTTAAAAATCCATATGCACAGCTGTCATGTTCTAGAATGAAAAATAACCAACCAATGCATTCGCAGAGAGGGCTTTTTTTCCCCCCTCTGATAATGACTGCAAAGAAACCAGAGTGGATTTGAAAAGGGAACTCCAGATAAAAGTTAAAGGGTTAGCGAAAAAAAAAGAAAAGAAAATTCTGTCATTAATTACTCACCCTCATGCCGTTGCAAAACCTGTGAGACCTTTGTTCATCTTCAGAATACAAATGAAGAAATTTTTGTGAAATCCAAGAGCTTTCTGACCCTCCATAAAGAGCAATGCAACTGAAATGTTCCCAGGCCCAGAAACATAGTAAGAACATCGTTAAAGTAGTCCACGTGACATCAGTGGTTCAACCGTAATTTTATGTAGCTTATCGAAAGTATCACAACGAATGCGTGTGCATTCCTCTGCTCATAAACAAGGCATAGCGTATGTGTTGTGGTTCTCTTGATAATGGCGAAGGACGGGACCCATAAGTCCCAGAGGAGAAGAATTGTTGAATAAAGTTGTTATTTTTATTTTCTTTCCGCACAAAACGTATTTTCGTAGCTTCATAAAATGACAGTAAAATTACACTGATGTCACATGGACCATTTTAACGATGTCCTTACTACGAAGGTCTTATGGGTTTAGAATGACATGAGGGTGAGTAAATACATTTTAATTTTTGGGTAAACTAACCCTTTAAATCCAGAGCTTCTAGACACATACAAGATAAAAACGTCCTGCTCAGGGCTGCCACACACTAGTTGAAATGTATTTCAGTATAAAATTATATTTTACCTGCTAGTATTTTATTTAGTTTATTATATTTATTGACTGAATAGGTCCCATAGGGAACATGGGCAAATTGAGTGTCAATCAAAGTGACGGTTTAAAGCATGTTATCATTCAACATCACAGCATAAAGACTTTCTAACTAATGTAAATCGGTATTTACATAGTCTTATATAAGTAAATTGATCTCTGTCACGCACGTGTCCCACATTGTCATGCAAAATCACATCTTCTGTCCTGCAATAACCAGAGGGTCATTCTATGCAGTGGCAGTCATGAAAGCCAGTGTCAAAGCCTTACATTTTGATTCAAGAAGCCACTGGAAGTCAGTGGAGTGAGATGATAATTAACTCATTTGATATCTTTGCTCTTAGTTTCATCCATCCTGAAGAAGACGAAAGATACGCAATCCAAAGGCAGTGTTCGGCTTGGCCTGGTTACAGTGTTCCTTTTCCAGCGCTGTCAAGGTTTCAGCAGTGTGCCCAGTCATGGCGGCTGCACACTGGGCATGGTTAGACGGCACACTGCCCACCAGCAGTTCACTCTGGCGGAGCACGCAGAGGAGCAGCAGCGCTTGCGAATGGAGAGGCTACGTGAGCAACACCAAGAGGAGAAGCTGGAGGCATTGAGACAGAAGGTGAGTTGGTTATTTTCCAGTTTAATTTTTCACTTGGCTTCTTACAGAATCTTCCTTTTTATAGCTGATCATCAGTGGGACTCTCACAGCATCAGAAGCAGCCAGGTTGACAGTGAACGACGTCCCAGATGAGGATACCGATCTCAGCAGCGTGAAGCTGAAAGACATGGGATCCCTCCGTCCCTGCTCTTCCAAGCGGAGACGTGCATTATTGAGAGCAGCAGGAGTGGTGCGCATCGACCGGGAGGAGAAGAGGCAGCTGCAGGAGCTGCGGCGGTGGAGGGAAGACAGTGGATGCCATTGCCAGGGCTTCTGTGAGCCGGAGACCTGTGCCTGCAGCCAGGCTGGCATCAAGTGCCAAGTAACTGTTTTTTCTACGTATATATATTTCTATTCATGGTGGTGCAGTTGTCATATTGATCTTTGACATATTATTGCTCAAAAGATTCTGCACTGCCTAGCAGACTTTCAATGAAATTTTAAGCTCACGAAGGTTGCATTTCTCAATCAAAAATAAAGTTAAAAGTCATATTGTGAAATATTATTACAGTTTAAAATAACTGTTTTCATTTTTATATATATTTCGCATGATTCTTCAGAAATCATTGTAATATGCTGATAAGGTGCACCAAAAAATGATGAAAACAGTTGTGCTGCTTAACACTTTCATGGAAACCATGATACTTTCAGGATTAATTTATTTGAAATATAATTTTAAAATATTATAAATGTCTCTACTACCTCTTTTGATCAATTTAATGCATCCTAGCTGAATAAAAGTATTAATTTCTTACCCCAAAATTCTTACCTACCCTGAACCTTTGAATGGTAGTGTATTTGAGAAATATTTAATCGCTTGTGAGATTACTGGGGTCATATTCTCAAGAGAAAAAAACTTAAACTGAAGTCTCAATTACTTCTAATCTCATTGAGATATTGAATAGATCTCATGCATTTTCTTTCCTATGGCCAGCAACAGTTGTATTATAAGAACTGAAGTATTGTTTTTTTTCACTGATTGTTTTTTTGATAAACATTATCTGTCAACAGATGGATCGCTCCAACTTTCCCTGTGGATGTTCAAAGGAATGCTGTGGGAATCCCGCAGGCCGAATCGAATTCAACTCCAGTCGTGTACGGAGCCACTACATCCACACACACATGAAGCTGGAGCTGGAAAAGAGGCTGCACGATGATAACAGACTAGTCTCCACTGAACAACAATCAGCGGCGAGGAACAGAGCCATTACATTTCCTGTAGAAAATGACTCTCCCTCATTCCTCCTGAGCTCAGAGCTCTGCAGGCAGGGGGACAACAGCTGGAGCAGTGACATGACTGACACCTCCTGCTCTTCCTCTCTGAGTCTGGACTCTGAGACAGATGGAAGGCCTTCCTCGGAGCGACCCACACTGGACATGGATGGCAGAGGACTCACTCACATACTCAGCTTTTCTGATTCTGATGGAGAAGGATGTCCATACATTAAAGATTATAATCTGTCCACAGAAGCCACTGGCGGCACATCCACAAAGGAAAGCAACACCAGTAAATCTAAATTGGAGTTTCTGGATGAAAATGCTAATCAGGCCAGCATGGAATGTGTCGACGATCCATTTGATATCCCTAATACTCCTTCTGCATCTCCGGATCACACTATGAACTGTTACATGGACCTCAGTCTGTCCTCAGACTCTGACCTGGTCTTTTTTGACACTCTCCATGAGTACGGTCCAAGCCGCAATCATTTTAAAGTGTATAGTCATCTGGACTACATGTCACAGCTCCAGTTCCCCCGCTGTCCCAGTCCTGCTCTATTTGAGGACTCAGGAGTCAGTCTTCTGGAGTCTCTTGTAGGAATTTCTTAATAGGGATCAGAGCAGCTCAGTATTTTTTACTGATGTTTAAAAAACAAATGAGCATTGTTCATTTGCGATTGTAAAGTATGAATAAATCTCATTTACTATGAGAAAAATGGTGAATAATTTTGGAATTTAAGGATATTCCTTAGAATTATATTTAAGGATATTAATATAGTCTGTAACTATTCACGATCACAGTGTAAAAACAGTTAAATACCACTCAGTGTGAAGTATCATGATGAGTAATATGTCAGTTTCAACTTTGTTGCCAAAAGTCTTAGGTAAGATTTTATATGTATTCTTCATAAACTAAAGGCTTCATCACCATTAAAACTAATCCTATTTCAGTAAATAAAGTTTTACTGTTAAATGTTTACTTATAAAAGCCCATTCATATGTATTTCTCAGTTTTGTTTTGCTTTAAATGATCATGTGTGTGAATCAAAGTTGTATTTTTTGTGTAGCACAGTAAATGTATTTGTTACAGTGTTTCAAACGAGTAAGCTGTTATAAATGTCAATATGCCATTATCATATTTCATGTTCGTCTTTTCAAGGGCCAGCATGCCCTTTCATTTAAAATGAAATGTTTTTTTTTATTTAAGGAATGACTTGTAATATATAAAAATTCAGGCTACATTCGCTTCAGTGGTATGCCTGCTTTGTATTTACTTCAGTGAATGTTTTTGGACATTTCAAAATGTGTCCAGCTTCTTTTTTTTTCACTTCTTCTTCTTCTTCTGTGGAATAACTCAATAAAACTAATTTCACAAAACCAGTGAGAAATACTGATTTACATAGAAGAAACGGAGACTCGAAGAATTACAGTATTGGTTTTTATGTAGGTATTGTAAGGTTTGATTAATGTTCACAGGAAATTACTGGCGGTTAGGCTTTCTACTGTTGTTCTCGACCTGGAAGCTCCACAAGAGGGCCTCAGTAAACATCAGAAGTAGCTTCAAGAAGTCTAAAAATAACTGAAAAATTGAAAGACAAAATGATCAATAAGATATAACCGTTTTTTAAAAATACAAAGGTGAATTAATTGTTGAACAGAGAGGTTGAAGTTAAAATTGAATTGAAGGCAACTATGTGTGAGCATACATAACTTAGTTAGCTTTTGTGGTTAAGTTTTTGTTGCTTTGTCAAAACAAGTCATTAGAAAAATAACAATAATAATAAAATGATGACTCATTAAGGATGTGTGAATAATAAAAATATAAATATAACGTATTTAATTATATTATATATTTTGTATAATTATTATGCAATTTAGCCACACACATAAATTATTTTTGCTTAACTGAGAATGTTTCAGCTGACAAATATAAAAAAATAACGTACCGAGATAGAAAAATCGTTTGATCGTTAGCATCATGTTCGATTGCTCTCCCCTGCCTAGATGGACAACATGGCCACGATGTGTCTGGGTCGCTAATTTTGGAACGCTAAACAAAACATTGAAAAACATCGAAACCCTTAAGAACAATGGGTTTAACACAGAGCAGTGGTGGACCTGAGGGGGGAACAGAAGGATATCATGTCCATGGAGTAAATAACTTTAATTTTGGTGACTTTTTTGACATCGAGCAGCTTTGCATGCTAGCTATGCTTTCATGAAGTTCTCATGTCCGCATAGCTTTAGGCTTTGACAGATATGCACTGAGAGAAAGCTGAGTGTGTGCGTTCATGCTTTCTTTTTTCGTGCTGAAATAAACAACTGTGTCAGATTTAGTATATTTGTCTACGGTATTAACATCTGTGGAAGCCTTTTGAATGTTTAGAAATTATGCTTGCGAAGTGGCAACTGTCAGGAAATTGTAATTAACGTACGGGTTATTTTGTACTGTAAATCTTAAAGCTCCGAAAACGCCTTCTTATTTATTTTAACCTTTGTGATTTCTTACATTATGGTCGCACGTTACACAGTTTTGAGTGTGTAAAAGAGTTTGCAGAGGGTTGGATCGATGTCGTGGTCAGTAACGTGAATTTAGGAGTATATACGTGTAGCCGCCACGACACTGATTAAACTCATACTCTCAGATTCATTACTTGAGAGTACGTATCATTCGATGGATGTTATTAAACTTCCCAGAATACACAACAATGCGTACAGCATAAATAACGAAGTGGCAACTGTCAGGAAATTGTAATTAACGTACGGGTTATTTTGTACTGTAAATCTGAAAGCTCCGAAAACGCCTTCTTATTTATTTTAACCTTTGTGATTTCTTACATTATGGTCGCACGTTACACAGTTTTGAGTGTGTAAAAGAGTTTGCAGAGGGTTGGATCGATGTCGTGGTCAGTAACGGGAATTTAGGAGTATATACGTGAGCCGCCACGACACTGATTAAACTCATACTCTCAGATTCATTACTTGAGAGTACGTATCATTCGATGGATGTTATTAAACTTCCCAGAATACACAACAATGCGTACAGCATAAATACGTTTGAATTTAAATGCATTTGAAGTAAACCCCCCATCTGAAATTCCAAATCTGAATGGAATTTGTGCTCTGCGGTGATTAACTTCTATTCCTTTACAGATTCAAGAGGACTCACCAGCGGAGAAATCTGGTTTGGAGCCCTTTTTCGATTTCATCATATCCATTGGCAATAATCGTTTTGTAAGTTTGTATTTGTAAAACCTTATTGGTTATTCTTGTAATCTTGAAAATGTAATACAAAGATGTGTCTGTGTCACACACAAGTAATAACCAACAGATGATTAGATTTACATGCACAAGAATGTCCTAATTAATATTGTAATGTTTTCATACAATTTTTGATTATGTAGGCTTCATGTAAACATTTTAAAATGTCCTACAAGTAATGCTTTGTCTTGGCAAAATGACATCTGTTCACTGTCTCACTGTTTTCTCTATCTCTATATAATCTACACTGTGTACAGTTTAAAGCAGCACTATGTAACTTTTGGCGCTCTAGCGGTTAATAAACAGAACTGCACACATCCCGCGGAAGAACATTCTAACCGGAGCTACTTCTCGTAGGTTTATGTCTATGGCGATTCACGCAGGTATGTGTTACTCCGCAGCGGTGACGACCCGACCAGGCTACACTAGTCCAAATATAAGTACTTATTATAAGTGTACCGTAGTGATTCGGAATAAGACAAAAACACGGTTTGTAAGATGAATTCATGATGTACTCGCTCATTATATACATTTTGCAAATTTTGAACACAGAAAAAGTTACATAGTGCTGTTTTAACCGCGTGAGCGCCAAAAGTTACAAAGGGCTGCTTTAACACCGCAATCTGGTAGTGTTTGTGTAGTAGCTAAAAAAATTCTACAACCGTTTAAAACAAGCTGTTTAAACTAGTTTTAAGTGGTCAGTGACATTCATATAATCACTGAAATGCACAAGAATGTTCTTGAATATTGGACTATGGTGATATTCCAAATATGCATGAATCATGTAAACACATTAAATCCAGTTGTCATAACCTGAAGCTATTATTCGACTTTCAAGAAATCCGTGTAAGACAGCATATCCGAGTTTTGGCTGGTCATGTAAACATTTTATTCAGAATGTACACTTTATCTCCCGTATTTGCCAAAGAGATGATGAAAGTTCATGTCTTAGTGGTTTTAAAGACTTAACCAAAACATGGTTTTGATGTGCATGTGAATGTGGTCACAGTTTCTTTGATTCTAATGGGTCACATGCTGTCTGAAACAGAGCCAGGAGAATGAAATTCTCAAGGACCTCCTCAAGGCTAATGTGGAGAAACCGGTGAAGATGGAAGTGTATAGTACAAAGACCATGAGGATCCGAGAATTGGAAGTGGTTCCCAGCAACATGTGGGGTGGTCAAGGACTTCTGGGAGCCAGTGTCCGCTTCTGCAGGTTTCAAGGAGCCAATGAAAATGTTTGGCATGTTCTCGTAAGTGATCCTTGCATTTTTTTTAAAGTACTTTGGCTTCTTGGACTGTTCTCTTTATTCTCTTTGTGTGATTATTTTGCTCACTTTGGTTTTAGGATGTGGAGCCAAATTCACCAGCAGCATTGGCCGGACTCCAGGAACATTCGGATTTCATTGTTGGAGCTGACCAGGTTCTCCAAGATGTAAGATTAGAATTATTTAATGCATGCTTGATTGTTATTCAGGAGAAAACAAAGCTGTGCATGCAAGTTACTCACAATCAAGCAATGTTTTGATTTCCCAACAGTCAGAGGATTTCTTCTCCCTAATTGAAGCCCATGAGGGGAAACCACTGAAGCTGCTGGTCTACAATACAGAGACGGATAAATGCAGGGAGGTGGTTGTCACACCAAATGGTGCCTGGGGGGGAGAAGGCAGGTAATAACCCTGTTACAGAAGATGTAATAGTGTAATGAAGACCTGAATCAGCCATTATTACGAGGAAACGACTCGCACAACTGCCTCCTCCAGAGCTTGTGTGCATTTCATGATAATGATTTTGCCTTTGTAGTCTTGGCTGTGGCATTGGATATGGCTACCTGCACCGAATCCCAGCTCGACCTGACAGCCCAAAATCTGTAAGAGTCAGTCCAAAAGCTTCTCCTGTGGTAGGAACGCCAGAGCAAGAACTTCCTACAAATGGATTTACAGAGGTAATTTTTCCTCAAGACTGTAGTGTGATGTGATATATTACTTAAGGAATAGTTCACCCAGAATTCTGTTGTCATTTACTTGCCTATATTTCTTTCTTTCTAATGTACGACACAAAATGAGATATTTAAATTTTTTATTTTTTTTGGTCCATACAGTGAAAGTAAATGGGTTTCAAAACAAAACAAAACAAATTGGACCCAACTGACATATCTTTTTGTTCCACAGAAGAAAGTAGGCCCCCCCACAATTTACTTTTTTCCCTGATAAAAATTGCCTATTTTTTTTTTTGCCAAATAAAAAAAAAAACAGGTCTGCTGTGCTTGTTTGCAGGACAGCACAATTTGTCCTAAATGTTATGATTATATATCAGTATAGCTAAATAATAATAATATTACTAAACAAAAACAAAATAAGAAATATTACTTTTGCAACTGTAATATTAGTGCTAATATTTATGGCTAATATTTGTTTTATTTACTTTTTTTTGTGATTTGGGTTTTATTTTGATTAATTGTGCAGCAACAGGTTTAAAACTATGTGCGGGTGTGTAAATGATGACGATGTTCAATTATGGTTTGAATTTTTGGTAGCTGCGTACAACAACATAACTGAAATGTTTATCTTCAGGTGTCCTTAATGGCGTCCAGTCAGTCAATGAGTGGCTTGGATCTTGATACCCCACTGCCACCTCCCATTCAGAGAGTCATGGATCCTGGTAAGGCATCAAAATACGTGCTTCATTTAGAACAAAAATCACGAAAAGACATTGTAATATATCAAAGCAATGGTTCCTCCAGGTTTCTCGGATCAGTCAGAAGTGGCCATGATGAATTCGGAGGTGTCAGACATGACAGAACGACTGGACCTATCCACTTCTTCCACTGACATGACAAACACATCCCTAGCTGTCATTGTGGAGGACATTGTGTCAGTTGTCGGTGAGGCCACCTTGCTAAATTTAGATAAACAGAATTCAGTCTGTGAGTCAAAGTCTAGGTGGTAAAATGTGCAAAATGTCTCTTTTTGCAGAGGAGCTTCAAGACAGTGAGGTTCCTAGTCGTAACCCTGAGGAGCAAAATACAGAGTATCCTGCTGTGGATTTCAGTTCTATTGCACCACCTTCAGATGTTCCTCCTCCCCTTTCTCTCCCATACTCTCTTCTCCCAAATCTGCCTCTTGATTATAGCATACCCACAGACATGGCATCTTTAATGAATTCTTCAATCCCATCTCTCGACTCTTCTGTGCCTCCTATAGACATCTCTTCCCTGCTCATTGACCCCGCCGCCCTTCATCTCGAGTCATCTGCCCCACCTGCAGAATATCCCGTGCAGTCGAACGAGTCCTCAGCTTTCCCCTCAGAAACTGATGGTGTCAATCAGGGCTTTTCTGATGTGCCACAGTCTCTGAAGAGCAGCTTGTCTGAGGGCAGAGCAGAAGCCGTATCCTCTGACCTGATGTCTTTTGATTCCCATAATGCACATGTCAAAGATGAAGCTGCTCCTCAGTAGCGTCTCTACCAAGTACTACCTTGTGTCTTGTTTACGCAGTTGCTCAACAATCATCAGGTGGTGTCTTTTAATGGCTTTGTTACTGTTAGGATCAGGTGTGGGCGAATTGGTATTGAGTGTGTTTTTTAAAACAGTTGCGAGAAATTTACGTTTTATTTTGCGTCTAGTAGTCATGATTGTAGGTTGTTGGAATGTGTGTAGGGGGTTGTCTTAAATTGTGTAGATCTTAATTTAGAAGATAATGTTTTATGTTACTAAATTGAAACCTTTTTATATAGCTTGATTAACTAAAACTGCTTAGATTCCTCTACCAGTTTTAAATCCCACAAAAAGTGGAAAGTAGCACCTGAAACCTTTATTTAATTGACTTTGTTTTAAATATTTGTAGTATTTATTTAGCTACGACACAAACCCTCATGGATTACTGTGTTAATCTGAACACAGTGTAGAATATATACATAGAGCTAATGACAAAATATACACAAAGGAACACTGTGACAAAATAAATCATTTTGTCTAGAAAAAGCATTACGTTTTTGGCTTACTTTGTTACATATTTTGGAACCTGTTTGGGTTTTATTGTGTGTTGTGGGAATGTTTTAACAAAGTACAAATATTTAGTACTGGGCAAGGGTTTTGTATTTGTTTAGTTTAGCATACTAAAATCTTCCTGGCTAATTAGATTTTTGAAATTATTTTGATGCGAGTTTAGAATTTTTCAACCAAAATATTTAATTGAAATCTTTGCTAATTAGTCTTCATTCGTAGTGATTTATGTGTACTTGAGGATGAAAAGCATAATATTTATGTTTCAAGTTTTGTTGAAAACAGTTAACACTAGAGAAATGTTGCCACAGTAAAATGTGCTTTTCATGTAATTTAATAATCTATGCAAATACAGGTATTGTATAAATGCCAATGGAATTTCTGTGGTATTAATATTGATATTAGTGTTGAAGCGAAACGAGGCTGCTGAACGAGCGTGACACATGGCTCGAAAGCAGCGGAGCTTTTATTATGCCACAGTCGACCGCTTCCACTCCTTCCGGTGACGGTCGTGTGTATGTGGGGTAAAGCAGCGCTGTTTTATCATACTAGATACATTTGAAAGTTCTGTTATAATGCTACTCTGTGCGGTCGGCACCGGTCTATTAAAGCGCACAACATATTAAAGCATCTTTGGTGTTTCCATGTTTTCTACAAAACAAAACCGGAAATCGAGGGGTTATGACGTCATTGGCAGGCGACACAATGACACTATGGACACGGTCCGTGTCACTAGTTAAAATTGCTTATTTCTCAGGATTTAAACATTCTTCGAAACATTAGGGAAAATGTAACTACACAAGTCAGCAAAATATATAACACCGTTCTAGTGGTTTTTGGATATTTAAAAAAAAAAAAATCTTACATATTGTGCCTTTAAGTTCTTTGTCAGTGTTTTTTTTTTTTTTTTAAAGAGTTTCAGCTATGAACAAAGACTTTATATGTACAAGCAAAGTGATTCCTGGTGACATCTCTTTGCATCGACATGATCATGGTACGTCACAAGGGTGAGGAGACAATGTTGTTTTCAATTTGAATTTTTAGGAAAAAATGTAGAGAATACCTGTTATTCCAAGTGTGAACACAAATGTATATTTTTGTGTAGTAATGCTACATGATATTAAGTAAACAGAAAATGGTCTACTGTATACGCAAACTGTATTCTTTGGGTTTCTGGAAAAATGTCAGATTGAAAAACACTGGAACCATCTACAGCAATAAAAGTTCTAAAATATAAATTGTTAGTGCTGATTGTGATTTGTGTTGTAGCCTATACTTTGAAAGTAGGCCTAAATATCAAAGGGATAGTTCACCACAAAATGACATTTCTGTCATCATATACTCATGTCCTTCCAAACCTGTATGATTATTTCTTCTGTGGAACATGAAGATATTTTGAAGAATGTTGGTATCCAAATGATTAAAGTTTTGGTGACCATTCCCTTCGCTGTATGCAGACTTTTCTCAAAATATCTTTTCTTTTTTTTGTTCCACAAAAGAAATAAGGTTTGAAATCACTCAAAGGCTGAGAGTTTAATAACATGTTCCAGTCCAGGACATGTGGACCAACAACCCACCGTTTAAAAAAACGAGCATCAGCGCTGTCGAGCAGCTTCAGCGACCTCTGCCTGTGTCTGGCGCTCTCTTACGGGTCTTGAGGTAAAACAGGTACAGCAGGCTGGTCTCAGTCTGTGAGCCCGGAATACAAAAATTTCTTATAATATTTTCCACACACTGTCCATCTAGCACACAACATTGTTTATTGTTCTTGTCCAGAACTCAGACAAGAAGCTCTTTGTAGTTTATTTTCCATGATATCAGATGTAGCCTTCAACTGTCACAAAAAAATAAGAAAAACACCATTATGTTATAATACGTGACCCTGGACCACAAAACCAGTCATATGGGTCAATACAAGATATTTGAATAAATAATAAATAAGCTTTCCATTGATGTATGGTTTGTTAGAATAGGACAATATTTGGCAGAGATAGAACTATTTGAAAATCTAGAATCTGAGGGTACAAAAAAATCAAAATATTAAGAAAAGGTGGTTAAAGGATTCATTCAGATGCACAGAGGAAAAAAGAGAATTCCTTAGCTCAGAAACTTTCCACCCTTTGAATGGTTTCAATAAGAGTAATTTATCACAAGCACTCCCGTACAGCCAGCCACTGACATGCACCACAGGAGGTGAGGTACAAACTATTTAGTCTTCACACCAAAAGCACAGATTAATTTTCCTGCAGCCGCAGCAGACTGTACGTCACGCTTCTTAATCACATTTAATTCAAAAGAACAAATTCATCATCAAGTTTGCTTTTACTCACAAGTCATTTGTGCAGAAACAAATACTAGGATTTATCTTAAAATATTATCTGAATGAAAACTGTAAACTAACTATAAATCTGTAGATGATGGTCACCTTGCCTTGACTTATTTTTTATTGTAGCTAAATTAATCTTTTTTTTTTAATCTTAGATTTTTGAAGAAGTCTCTTACGCTCACTAAGGCTGCATTTATTTGATTAAAAATACAGTAAAAACAGTAATATTGTGAAATGGTTTAACAATTTAAAATAACTAAAATTTGAAAGCATAATTGATTCCTGTGATGACAAAGCTGAATTTTCAGCAGCTATTGATTTATTTCAGAAATCATTCTTTCTATGATTCTAAAATCATCAAAAAACATTTCTTATTATTATCAATGCTGAAAACAGTTGAGCTGCTAAACATTTTTATGGAAACTTTGATACATTTTTTTTCATGATACTTTGATGAATAGAAAGATCAAAAGAACTGAATTTATTTGAAATAGAAATCTTTTGTAACATCAAAAAGGTCTACTGACAATTTGATCAATTTACTGCATCCTTGCTGACCCCGAATTTCTGAAGGACGATTATGTCTGTGTCATAGATGCAAGACTGCTGTGGCACACAATGCTGTTCGAGTCCTTTCTGTTCAGAGAATATGGTATTTCTGGTGAGTATTTTTTTTGTTTCATTTTGAAGTTTTTTAAAATACGAGATTTTTTTGGAAATTGCATTCAAGTTGTACTTGGCTCAAAGGGTGGACTGGAACATCCGTTTATTTCCCAAACTGTTTGTCCTATGCAAGTTTACAGAGAACTGGGGATATTCTCACTGTGAGACGACACTGAGCCACTGTGCTGACCTGGATTGGAATTTAAGTGATTTTAAGGGCTATTTTTGATTGGTCTGTAGGCTGCTGTTTATAAATGGCATTTTGTGCTGCTGCAGTACTGGGCACTTCATTCACAGACGTGTCCACCCGAGAGACCTGATTTTAACGTGGCCTTCACCAGACAGCCCATCATATCACCAGGTAATCTCGCCTTATGCCTTCGTCTTGCATACATGCAGCGTTCACATGGTCTTATCCGCTGTGTGTACAGTGTATTGTTTCTGTGTGTTGGTAGGATTGCGTCCGGCTGGCTTTCACAATTATGGAGACTCAGAGACTGCAGTCATTTCCACTGTCTACCAAGTGCAGACCCACCCCAGTCACGTGACTGCAGTGTATTCAGCCCTGCCGTCCCACTACAGACAGCCCCCTCCTTCATATGATCAGGTCATGCAGGACTTGCAGAAGAAATAAACAGACCCTCAGCACAGCGACTTAATCTTACTCTGTCTGTGAGGTGAAAGAAACAGAAGAAGCTCAACAACTCAGGCATGACTGCAAGAAAACAAACAGTACAAGTACAAAAACAAGAAGTTAAGGACATTGAAACTCCATCTTCTTCTCAGTATACAAGACTGCTGGAGGTTTGAGGTTCCTCATCTGTGGATACAGTAAAAGTGCACTTAGTTTTCAATGTCAGGACTTAAGAATATGTTTATAAGCATAACAGGTTACACAATAGCTTTCACATTAAAGGCAGAGCAGATCAGTTTAACAATAATAACAATAGCCTCAACAAAATATATTTCATAATTTTATATTGTTCACTTCTAAAGAGATTTTATTTTGATACATAGAAACCGAGTGTTCTGACATTATTAAATATTTGTATTTGTTCCACAAAAAGGGCATTATACACTCCCTGGATGCTTATAAAATGTTATTGATTGAAATACACTGCATACATTTTTATTATTCCCACTCAACATCCATAACCCTAATACATTTTTTCTTTTTAAATTTGATATATTTTATGTATTAACTATACATTTTTTATATTAATTTATAAATAAATAAATAATACACATACACACACACATTTTTAGGTACACTTCCTAGTACTGGGTCGACCCAGTGCCTTAATTCCTCATGGCATAGATTCAAAAAGGTGCTGGAAATATTCCAGACAGAATTTGTCTAGATTGACATGACAGTATGATGCTGAACATCCATAATGTGAATCTTCCATTCCATCACATCCCAAAGGTGCTCTATTGGATTGAGATCTGGTAAATGCGGAGGTCATTTGAATACATGAACTCAATGTCATGTTTCGGGTTCCATCGGAAGTGTCTTGATTTGTGTTCCGGGGATGAACGAGGGTCTTGCGGGTTTGGAACAACATGGGGGTGGATGATTAATGACAGAATTGTTCTTTTTGGGTGAACTAACCCTTTAGATATTGTTTTGAACATTTCATTGTTGTTGTTTTTCTCCCCAGAATTGTTCCCCTCATTTTTTTATCTTGGTTGTGTTTCATTTTTTTCTTGTCATTTGCACTTACATATTGTTGCTTTTTTGTTAGTTTTGATTGCTTCTATTGTCCTCATTTGTAAGTCACTTTGGATAAAAGCGTCTGCTAAATGACTAAATGTAAATGGCGTGTTATCCTGCTGGAAGTATCCATCACAAGATAGGTACAACGTGGTCATAAAAGGTAAGGACACGGTCAGCAACAGTACTCAGGTAGGCCGTAGCATTTAAAACCATGCTCAGTTGGTACTAAGGGGCCAAAAGTAAACCAAGAAAATATCCTCCACACCATTACTTCACAACCACCACCAGCCTGAACCATTGATACAAGACAGGATGGATCCATGCTTTGTTTAAACCAAATTCTGACCCTACTATCTGAATGTCACAGCAGAAATCAAGACTCCTCACACCAGGTAACCTTTTTCCAATCCTCTATTGTCCAATTTGGGTTGTATGTTAAAATCACAGTAGATCAGCAGTTTCAGACTGGCCAGGGGTGCGTTTCGCAGAAGCAACTATGGCTGCAAATTCCGTCATTACCAATAGAGTTCAATGAAACAATGCTTTTGGGAAGCGTACCCCAGTCTAGCACTAACAACCATGCCACGTCCAAAGTCACTAAAATCACCTTTCTTCCCCATTCTGATGCTTGTTTTGAACTTCAATTAGGTGCATAAATGAGCTGCTGAATAGGTGCACCTCATAAAGTGGCCGGTGAATGTATCACGTCACAAAAGGTGGCCTGATATAATCCTTCTTTATAAAACAAACCTAAACTTACAATGAGGATGGTTAATATAAAGTTTTTTTTGTTTTGTTACTTTATTCATTGGTTTAGCAGATATTTTGTGGCTGCTTGGTTGGGTTAGAAAGTATATATTTGGAACAAGATATGGAACAGCTTTGTTTGATATATATTATTTAGAAATAATAGTGAAATATAATTGTATTAACTAATTCTTTAATATCATTAGTATTATTAATACATACTATTCATAAAAATAAGTAAAATATTATTACTTAATTAAATAAATTTAAGTAGTTTAATATACTACTATTATTTTCAACCATTTATATCTTTATTCATGTCAAACATTTTTATGTTTACGTTACATTGGTAACCGTTCATTACCACCACAAGGTGGCGCTGTAAAGTAATAATCTCCAGTTTATTCTAACCCTTTAGTTTCAGGTCTAAGCATTACTAGCACTTACCGTTGTGCTTTGAGGGAAAATCGTCGTTAAATCATCATTTGTTCCTCAGAATGATAATATTTGCAACAATCAATCAAATTGGCCTTGTTTGGAAAAGGACATTACGAGAATTTTCATTCTCTTCAAGGCATTGAAGACCCTTGAGTCTGTCTACAGTTATATACTGGTGAAGAAGACAGAGCAGATCTGAATACTGCCTTACTGGGCTCAGTTTTGAACCTCAGAAAAGATTGACAAAAATGCCTCTGAGGGTGTTCAAGGTAAAACAAAAAGCCAAAGAAAAATGATGCCTGTGAACAGTGTCCTGAATGATCAGATCTGAGATTGTGTTTGATCGAGAGCTGCATTCATCCAGTCCCTCAAGACCTCCAGACATTACTGAAGTTATGCTTGAAAAAAATCATTCCTTACGCATCTGTAAATTGTGTAGCATCAGTGAGAGTCTCTTCTGCGGTGAGGCGAGATCAAGCATGGCAGTATGGCAGACCTGTCCTTATTCAACTTTTTAGTCTAGACATAAATATTTTATATGTTTTCTTTCACAAAAATATTTAAATAATTACATTCATGCAAAGGCCTTGCGAATGCCACTAAACGAAAAAGAATGAAACCATCTCATCTCAGTTGTCCCTGATAGTTTCCATTGAATTATTATTACTTTTTTTTTAAAACAAGTAGTCCATGTTCTTAAACTCTGTGGCCCAACAGAGTCTGGCTGGGAAGAGTTCAAGGATACAGGCTGCTTTTCAGTACAGTATCTATCTTGTGTCTTCAGATGCATGGGAGTGAAGGAAAAGAAAAAGAAAGAACGAAACACGGGCTTCGAACCACATTTCCTGCAAGTCACATCACTTGTGGCCTCAGAAACACAGTGCAACCTTTGTTTGACCTTCAGCTCCTCTCACTTATTTATAATGCAGACTTCATAAAAAATTTGAGCACAACCAAGCGCAGAGTTGTCCACGGTCCAGAATGTGGATGAATTCAGTCTCTTCCCTTTCTAAACATACAGCACACAACGTAAAGTGGGCTCTGAGAACAGACACGGTGTGAAATGTGTTTTAAATCTACAAATGTTCTAGATGAAACAACCAAGGAAAGTTTTTAAAAATGTATTCAGTGCATTGTCTGGTTCTTGCTTACCTGCTTGTCACTACAATTGAAATATTTTATTCAAGTTCATTAAATTGTTATATTTTTTTTAAAGTTTGCAAAGAAAAGAAAAAAAAATGTCAAAAAGTGTCATGTATATGTATATATATATATATATATATACGTATATACGGTACTCACGCAAGTGTAAGCACAGAACATGAGGCATTCATAAAAAATTTGAGCACAACCAAGCGCAGAGTTGTCCACGGTCCAGAATGTGGATGAATTCAGTCTCTTCCCTTTCTAAACATACAGCACACAACGTAAAGTGGGCTCTGAGAACAGACACGGTGTGAAATGTGTTTTAAATCTACAAATGTTCTAGATGAAACAACCAAGGAAAGTTTTTAAAAATGTATTCAGTGCATTGTCTGGTTCTTGCTTACCTGCTTGTCACTACAATTGAAATATTTTATTCAAGTTCATTAAATTGTTATATATTTTTTAAAGTTTGCAAAGAAAAGAAAAAAAAATGTCAAAAAGTGTCATGTATATGTATATATATATATATACGTATATACGGTACTCAAGCAAGTGTAAGCACAGAACATGAGGCAACATCATAGACTCGCACATAGTTAAATATTCAGTGTCCTCAGGGATTAAATGAACTTGACTAGATGTTTACAGTGTATGGAGTATATTTTTTAGACAACACATGATGATCAAATTTCTTCTCAAGTCAGTTCCCTTTCAGTCGATCACTCTCGACATCACGTCGGTGTTGACTGACGAATTGGGATCTCGCCAGAGAGACCAATTCACTTGGGGTGTAACTAAACGAGCCAATGGACATTGGCATGCGGATTTCACATCTGGCTGCGCGGGTATAAGAGGCAGCAGGTGCACCGCATTAATTCATCCTTTCGCTTCGGAGCCGAGCGATTGTGCATCACCACTGCTCTCTACTTCGGTGTTGCAGAGAGAAGCTACCGAGTGCGGGCGTTACGGCACAACAGCGGTGGTCACGGTCTCACGGGGGAGAAAAAAAGATTGTCCTCGTGCAGACAGCCACACCAGGAGTGTGCAGTGGCCAGCTCCCCTGCGTGCTTCAGCACAAAAAGAGCAAATCTCTAAAAGAGCAACACGGGTGATCACGTCTTTTTAAAGATGGCTTATCACCCGTGCGTTTCTGGGTGCGGTCGCTTTCTGGCGCCTCGGGACGGTCACGATCGCTGCCTCACATGTCTGGGCGTTGAGCACGCTGAGGAGGTTCTCCTTGTGGGGACATGGCCATCTCGGAGTTGCACGAAAGACTTCAATCATTACTTCAAATGTGGCAGGGTGCCTCTGCCGCGATCCAGCGTTTGTAGAGGGAGCCAGCCGTTTTCTTTCAGTTCCCCCCCGAAGACCAGATGTAGATCACTGCATCGGAGGGCGAGCTCTCTCTTTCCGGGGATGACGACCTGGCTGCGCTGCCCCCTTCGGGTGTGGCAGTGTTTTCCGTGTCTCCCCTCACGGGCCTGTAAATATTCATCAGGCTTAATTGGCAGTGCTTACAGAGCTTGTGGGGAGGCGGCTTCTGCCCTCCACGCCATGGCGTTACTGCAGGTCCATCAGGCCAAAGCCCTGAGAGACCTGCA